GGTGTGGCCTCACCAGTGCTGAGTACAGGGGGATGATCACTTCCCCAGTCCTGCTGGCCACACTATTCCTGATACAAGCCAGGATGCTCTTGGCCTTCTTGGCCACCTGGGCACATTGCTGGCTCATATTCAGGTGGGCTTCTGACCAATGTTCCTAGGTCCTTTTCTGCCAGGCAGCTCTCTAGCCACTCTTCCCCAAGCCTGTAGCGTTGCATGGGGTTGTTGTGACCCAAGTGCAGGACCTGACACTTAACCTTGTTGAACCTCATACAGTTGGCCTTGGGCCATCAATCCAGCCTGTCTAGATCCCTCTGTAGAGCCTTTCTACCCTCCAGCAATTAACACTCCCACCGAACCTGGTGTCGCCTGCAAACTTACTGAGGGTGCACTCAATCCCCTCGGCCAGATCATTGATAACGATATTGAACAGAACTGGCTTCAGTACCAAGCCCTGGGAAACACCACTTGTGACTGGCTGCCAACTGAATTTAACTCTGTTAGCACCACAATTCTTTGGGCCCAGCCATCCAGTTAGTTTTTTACCCAGCAAAGAGTACGCCCATCCAAGCCATGAGCAGCCAGTTTCTCCAGGAGAATGTTGTGGGAAACCATGTCAAAGGCTTTACTAAAGTCCAGGCAGACAAAAGAAATGCAAGACCTTGAAAGCCTGTGGTGGCACCAAGGACTCCTTTGATGGTTGCTGTCCTTGCATCCAACAGTTAAGTTGTCCTTGGCTAGTTGCTACACAAGAGTTGTAAAAACTTGTTTTGCTGAAGTAGGCTACATAATTTAGGATGTGTTTCAATCATGGAAAAGTTTGTTGGTGCAAAATAACTGATTTTTTTTTGTGTGTCTGTGCACTTGAACCCTATAGTAAGAAAATATGATACATAACAAAAATTGATGGTTACATTCTGAGTTTATTTTTTTATAATGCAATCCTTGTTATAACTCTCTGTGTAGCATTTCTCAGACTTTCATATATTACAGAATCTTCAGCTTGACACTGATACTGTTTTTTTTTTGAAAAAAAGTTTCTCTTGCTTGAAAAATGAAACTGGGTATTGCTGTAAAATCTGTGAACTTCCTACTGGAAGCTCTGTGTATATGCTTTTAACATCCGGTTGTCAGGTAAAAGAGCTTTCAGTTGGCTAGCTGCGGTACTTTTACTTTTCTTTCTGCACTGGTCTAGATCCCTATGTCTGCTTGTATCTACCAATACTCAACTGTTAGGTAGAAGTATGAGGTACCAAATTGGAAGTAACTCCTTGCAAAGTATGTTTCTCATGTTTTATCTAAGTATGATTCTTAAAAGTTTAACTTAAACGAGCAGCTTGCTTTAATAGTTTTCTTGCATCCAGAAGTCCCTTCAGTAAATTTTTAAAGTAACAAGTCTGTTTTGCAAAAGGTTCAATATAGGAGACATTGCAAAAATTAAACTTATATGCTTCTCTGACTGGAATTCACGTCTTTGCCCTGTAGCTTGAAGACAGGAATGTCTGTATTCAGGAGAGGTGTTTGACAGCTATGTCAACTCAAAGCTACAGAGAAACTTACTGATACAATTGTTACCAGCTTTTTTTGATGGAGATGCTAATTAAGCATTTGGCCTCTCGGAAAGAAGGGCGGACTGGTTACTGTTAAACAACATACACACAGTGTGGTTTTCTTCAGCTGTAGTAGGCAGAGGACTTCAATTTTTTTTTTCTGGTCTGAAAGAATTGCTTCTAAGCTTTATTTCTTCCCTTTCACAAACAATTCAAGTGAGAATTTCAGTTACCTGTATCTCAGAGCAGTTGCCAGGCTTTCTTCATTTTGGTGAACTGCTTTCTTTCATCTCGGATTTAAGTCAGGTGTTTACTACATAGAATATTATTTCAGCATTCGTTCAGAGAAGAATCTTAACAATATTAACTAAGAAAACAAAGTAATATTTTTCTGAATGCTTGGTGTTCCTTAGGATCTTGAATCGTCATAATTTGTGCATCAGCAAGTTGATGTAAACTTTCAGAAGTACTGTTTTCATGAATTGGAAGTCTGTTGGTCTTGTTTGCTGGGAACTTTCAGAGATTATGGCAAGTTAACTCAAGTTACAAAAGATAGTCAAATATCTGCAGCAGCATTACTGTCTGTAACACAATTTTTCTTTCCACATCTGAGAGCTGAGAGTTTTTAGTCTAATCTTGAGCATGTCTCGTGTTTGGTAGTCTTTTGCATCTTGCATTGACTCCATATGTTGTGACTTTTCTGCTCATATTGGCAATGGAGCTGAACATTGGGAGTAACACAACCCAGTTGACCTGTGGAGTTTATTGTAAATTTTCAGATAGTGAAATTTTCGGAGGAGCACTCCTGATTTGTGGACATGAGGCCTAATTCTGACTCTGTTAATAGGACTGAAATTTGAAAAAGCATGAAGATAATTCAAAATTTCAGAATTGGTAGGTTTTGGGAGGGGTGGTAGAACAGTAGGCTGTGGGAAGAATAACAATAACTTTGTTTTTAAAACTTCCATTCAGAACTATGGTAGGCTGATTCTGGATTATCACCAGTGATAACGCCTAAGAAAATTCTCTTCTCTTCAGGGTTCCTGGACTTCCTTTCTGGCACATTTTATGTTGTTTATTTTTCCTTATTTCAAAGGACCTGGGCTCCTGTTGAAAAGTGATGGAATAATCTGTGGCCGGCACCTGACATGTTGAGGGAGCACCCCCTAAAAGAGCTTGCCTGGGAGACAGTTTGTGAAATAACACAGTAACATGTTTGCAGTAGTATGCCTCTTTTTTTGTTGTTGCTATTTTCTGTTGTTGAATTTCTCCTGAAATAAGTAACACAGAAATACATTGAAGCTACTGAAATGAGCTTTAATCACTGCAGAGAGATTGACGTCTGGAATTAGCATTGATAGTGGTTACTTGCAAAGATGCTCTTTCACTGATTGGGGCAAGGGAGGGATTTGATCTACTTTCTAGATGCTTAAAAAAAAAAAACAAACAAAAAATATGCGGTGACTTTAATAATGCACTAGTTTAATTTGTCACTGTAAGTCTGTGTGTAGCCTGAATACCCACAAGCTAGTGTTTTTAATAACAACTTTGTATAACTAGATTTAAGCTAATTTGTGAGATCAGGTGTTTTGAACTCTGCTTTTAAGTTTACTAATACTTTTAGTAGAAAAGAACTTTTTTCTGTTTTTTAACTACTTAATCCTTGCATGGGATCTCAGATGATTATAAGTACCAATACTGCAATTGAAATTATCTATACCTTTTCCTGATTGATTTTGCTTGACTCCCATATCTTTAAACAGAAAGCTATGTAATCTATGAGCAGTTCTGTATGCTTACAACTTCTGACAAAAGGCTAAGCAAAGTGGTATTAAGTGATCTGTGTGTAATGGTTAAAGCAACAATGAAAACTCTAAAAGCAATTAAAACTTCTCCATAGTGAGTATACCAGGCTTTTCAATATTTAGGCCAAATACTGAAAGTCTTGCTAATGAAGAGAGTCATAAGGGTTTTGCCTGGATCCTTGGACTTGTATCTGTTTTCTAAACTGCTCAAGTACTAAATTTGACACTTTACTGTTCTAAGTAGCTGTAGTGTGCATGCTGAATCCATTTTAACTTGAAAATAAATGCTTAAAGCTGTCTACCTCTTAGTTTGTGTAAGAATTAGATATATCTGTTTTAGTTTTTGTAGGTTTTTATGAATGTATGACAAGTATAGTTTGATTATTGTCTTTAAGCTTACTCCTGCATACAGCCTGCAGCTTACAGAAGTGTTCTCGCTAAAATAGTACTATTCACCTACATTCTCTGCGGTAACTACATGTCCTCGCAGCTGATGATGCCACTAATGCACAGCAGTAATTAACATTGGATTAATCCTTCGCACTTGGAAAGCAGTTACTAAAGGAGCAAAAGGAGTGTTTCTTTCCTTATTTAAATGAGTACTCCTCAAAACCATGGTGCTTCCAACTGTGAGGAAAGAAAAGTTTCTCTTACTGTTCTCTATTATCTGTAAGATCTCTTTCAATCCACTTAAATTCTGCATTCACATAAGACCAACTGATACTGTGTCAGAGGTTAAATGTCATGTAAAAGCCCTGTTTTGGAGAGAGGGGAATGGAGTGAATGCTTGTAGTGAGCTTAATGAGAGGTGAAAGCAGGAGTTTATTGGATCTATCATAGACTGAAATGTTCGTTTCTAACACCACAGTTGTCTCAGTTGCAACTGCTTGCAAGGTGTTGCTTCTTAGAGCAACAGAATTAACATGGAGGTGCCAAAGGTTAAGTTGCTCATCCTTATACATTTCTGTTATGACCTTTTACAATGTTTCAGTGGTTAGGGCCACGGCCATTTCACATGTTTGCGTAAGATATTTTATTGTCCCTTGTTCTTCCTCCCATGTCTAGTTTGTGGAGGGAGGTACAGTGTGAGAGTAGGTCCTGTGTTAGAACACTTTGATGTGTGCTGCCTGAAAGTTAAAATTACTATAATTCCTCCACCTTTATAAGTGTTTTCTCTAGTGCATTTATGCAGTGCCCACTTTTATCTTCTCCCAGCTCTATTAATTGCTGAGCAAGTTGTTTTTAATCTGAGACTTGGTGCATAGATTAAAAACAAAGGTTGGGAAGAGCAAATTCAATAAATTGAAAAACAAAGTTATCCTTTTTTCTTTAATGCAGATTAGCATGTTCCCTTCATGTAAGTAAAACCCTGGAGCTGACTGACTTTATCTTTGGATGTTAGAATATTGGCTATTGCTAAAGGTACAAAAATTACTACGGAGTATTCAGTCATCTTTAATCAAGCCTGATTTTGTAGCTTTTGGTCGTCGGCATCTACTATTGTGTCTCATTTGAGTTCTAGAAAGTTTCTATGCATGCAGGTACCTTTGGGGTTAAAAGGTATGAAATACCACTATGAAGTGTTACTACAAATACTGCTTAAATAGATTTGTAAACTTAGTGCTTTGTGTATATTCTTCTTATCCAGACCAGCATGTTTTGGAAATTTGATCTCCATTCGTCATCCCACATAGATACACTTCTAGAGAGAGAAGATGTAACACTGAAGGAATTGATGGATGAAGAGGATGTTCTGCAAGAGTGCAAGGCTCAGAATCGCAAACTTATCGAGTTTCTGCTGAAGTCAGAATGTTTGGAAGACTTAGTTTCATTTATTATCGAAGAGCCACCTCAAGACATGGATGAAAAAATTCGATATAAGTAGGAAAACTTTTGGGGGTGGGGGAGACTTGGGAAGGTGGAAAGAGGGGTAACTTAATCCAGTTAATTTTATAGTGTGTTTTGAATCCCTGCATGCTGGTGTGTAGTACAATACTGGTATCTTTAGAGAAAGTTTGTTTTCAAGGGGCTTTGTAGAACTTTAAAATAAATCATTCTGATATTTGCATATTTTTTCAAATGGAAGCCTCTTATCCACAAATGCTTCCAAAACCAAAGGAGGCTTACAAAAAAAATTCAGAGCTCATATGAAGAATCTTGTAGTTGTGACTGTTAAGAAAATAGTTGAATGAAAAACCCTGTTTACGTAGTATAGTTAACTGTTTAGCTTTGTTTTATTGATGATTGATAAGATGTTTTGAAGATGCTTCTTAGAAGGTCTGTAGCATTCCTTGGAAGAATGTACTTACCATCTAATTGCTGGTGTTTTCCTTTGCAGAGCTAGAACTGTAAGAACTGGGTATGGCCATGACTTCAGCTAGTTTGCTGAGAAAGTTCAAACTCAAAAGTCAACCTAGCAATTTGTATAAAAGCACTTCTACCATTTTTGGCCTATTTTAGAATTGTCTATGCAGAAAGCCGCCTTTTTTCTTAAAACAGTGTGTAAAAAAAAAAATAATGTGAAATAAGCTACACTTGTAGTTGCAGCACTTCACCATTTCTGGTAAACCAAGCCTCCTGTAAGTGTTTCTAGTAGTTTGAAATTGAAGCATCTTTCACGTAGAAACCTTAAGCTGCTGATGCTGTCAAAATTACCTTTAGTGTGAGTGGGTGATAGTACTGTCAAATGCAGGAAATTACTGGTCTTGATGGTCTTTTAGTTTAATTACTCAATGTTCTGAACTGTACTGTTGTACACAGACTCTGTGTCATGAAGCAGTACTAGCTAGTTTTGCGGGCTTTGTCAGACTTTGACTAGTTTGCTGAGTTTCTACATAATTGATATATTTGTATATATGAAAAATATATAAAAATCCTGAAGCTATTCCTTTTGACCTTTTTAATATAATCCCTGTTATATTAGAAAGAGGCAAACACACTGCTCCCTCCCCAGTATCAGTCCAGTACTGTCAGTCTGCTTAACTTCTTGGTAACTAATTTTTTTCCCGTCAAAAAAAGAAGTGGCTTCTGAAATGAGAGATCAGTAGTGAACAGATGGGTTTAACGATAGAACAGATGAGTTTAATGATGGAACAGATGGGTTTAACGATAGATCTTAAAATAAAAGCTTGCCCTTTCCTTTCCCCACTTCCCCAGTGTTGTCCTATCGCTACTGAAGAATGGAGTAGTCCATTTCTTAAATGAAAGAAGAGAGCTTGTAGGCTTGCATGTGCAGTTATGTTACCTTGCAGTGGTTTGCTGCTTTGATTAGTGCAGACCAACCCTGCTTGAAAACTTGGTCAGAAGCCTTACCAGGTTCTGAATTCAGAGCTGGAAGTATGACAACTTTGAAGTATGAGTGATGGATAATTTTTTTTGCCTTTTTCCCAGATACCCAAACATATCGTGTGAGCTGCTTACATCAGATGTCTCACAGATCAATGATAGGCTGGGAGAAGAAGAATCCTTACTTATGAAACTGTACAGCTTCCTCTTAAATGAATCTCCTCTAAACCCTTTACTGGCCAGTTTCTTCAGCAAGGTGCTAAGTATTCTTATAAGCAGAAAACCAGAACAGGTAAATATTTACAAGCTCTCCAATTTAACAAGTGCTCTAATAAGGTTGTAGTACTCAGCAATGCTGCTTTAAGACTGCACATTTGAGGGATAGCAGTGGAGTCAAAAAAGAGCATTCAACTTCTATATTAGCTGAAGACACTAAATTTTTTATGGTATGCACAGGGTTAAAAAATATATCTGGATGAGTAAGATGTATTTGATTCAGATTTGCCTGAGCTATTTGTGCAACCAGTGTGTGAGTGCTTACCTTTCGGCTTAGCTTAGTTCAGTATTTTATATGGTGACGCTTGCATTAATTGTTGTTAGAGGTGAAGGTAAGTGAATTGAGTCAGTGGGAGTGGGTCTGATTTGTTGTCAAGAATTGTCATAGAACAAGGTGAAGAGACATTTGGAGTTGTTGTTCAGAAATAATGTTCAGTACAACATGTGTTCATGTGGCCCAATACTGCAAACAGCTGCAATGACTGGCTCTCGTACCTGAGCAAATTAAGTTTGTGACTCTGTTCTGTGTCTTTAATTTAGCAAGCTCTGTATTTGTATTATGTTAAGGTTTTACTGTGTTTATCTTTGCTCACTAAACAGGGATGAGAGTAATTCATACCAAAATGGAAAGCTGACTGTGCATTGGATTATAAGTAGTTTATGGTCAGCAAGTTGGGCTTGAGAGGAGGCCCAGGACACACTGCACATCGTATGGATCTGTCCTGTGTCACTTCTGCTACTCTATACATGTGTATTATTTTATCTTGCCTTGTACTGCAAGCTTTAAGTGGCAAAAGTGTTTAAGAAGTTCTCGTTTATTTTCTTCATTTGGTAGGAGAGAGACATGAAAACTGGTTGGTGTAATTTACCATGTAAAATACAGATAAGCAAATGTAAGCTTACTTCTTTTTAATTTCTAGATTGTGGATTTTTTAAAGAGGAAACATGATTTTGTAGACCTCATTATTAAGCACATAGGGACCTCTGCTATCATGGACTTGTTGCTCAGGCTACTGACTTGCATAGAGCCTCCACAGCCCCGGCAAGAAGTGTTAAATGTAAGTAAAATGTCTCAAAGGATTTTTGTTTGAAGTGTGAACTGTAAGATGACTTATCTTCTGCTGGTTTTATTAAGTTTATTTCTTACATGTGCCGAAATTAGATGTGTGGGGGTTTTTTTGCTTGGAGCTGCCAATACTTTTCCAGTGGAGCCACAGTGCTGGTGGAGACAACTTAGAACCTGAGTGGCTGGACTCTTCCCCTGGTCTTTAATATCTAGCTTACAGCTGCCAGATGCAGTTTTAAAAATATTTTGAACCTTACTTTAACACTTTTTTTGGCATCAGAAAGTTTATCTAAAAATTATACCTAAGACTGTTCTTTACATTTGCTCAGAAACACTGATTTTACTATTTTCCTTTTTTCTGAAGTGTTAGTTCTTGTTTAGAAATATTGACAGTATGACTCATGGCAATTGTCAAATGACTTCTTTTAATTTCATTAATTATAACTCATTTAATTCATTCACTTGGATAACATTCTTACTAACAACCACAAATACTTTTACAGTGGCTAAATGAGGAGAGAATTATCCAGCGGCTTGTGGAAATTGTACATCCATCTCAAGATGAAGATGTAAGTATTGGTCCGTTGCTCTTCTGGGTCTATCTGTTCAGCAAATTGCTGTATGACATAGTGTTAAACTTTGTTTTACTGCTTTCTGCTTGCTTTTTTAAAGTAAGCTGATTTCAGTATTTAAGTATATATTATAGGTTATAATTACATATATATATATTTTTATATTATATACATAGGTTCCCAACCCCTGCCCCTGGTTCTCCGCCCCTGCCTCCTTATTCTCTCCCCCCTCTTCCCCCCAGTTCTGTCACCTTTTTTAATTGAAGAATTACTGGCCAGCATGTTACTACTCTTACAGTAAAAAGCTGTTTTTCTGTTACAGAGGCATTCAAATGCATCACAGTCACTCTGTGAAATTATTCGTCTAAGCAGAGACCAGATGTTACAAGTGCAGAACAGTTCAGAACCAGATCCACTGCTTGCAAGTCTAGAGAAGTAAGTTAGTTTGCTGAATTTGTGATTTTATTTTCAGTTCATAAAAAACACAGTTTTTTACTTTTGACCTTGCAAACCTTTAGAATTTTCTTGGCTACCTGTCATCTGTCTGTATAATCTAAAATAACTCAGAAGTAACCAGAGCCCACCTGGAGGACTTTCTTGGAGAGGGGTTGTCTCATTAAAATATTTCCTGTGCTGGCAAAGTTAGTGGGATCAGACATGTGGAGGTCAGTTTGCTATTGTGCAGAGTACACATGGGAGACATTGACTTTCATCTGTTATTTGTTTTAAGTTAATCTAAGTGTGTGTTTCTGCTAGAGAAGATTCTTCTGTATTCCCTTCTTCATTTTGCTGGTTATAGGTTTAGGTTTGTGTGGCTGTTATGGCAAGCTGGATCAGGTGTTAGATCTGACTCAAAACTCCCTTTTTGTAGTGTTGGTGGTCAGATCAAGAAACTATATCAGTGGAGGGAATAGGAAAATATGATTGGGGCAGTGAGGATGGGAGTGATTGTCCTAGTGGTACCTGCTAGCTTGAAATAGGTACTAGTTTTCTTTGTATTATCCCCTTATTAATTTTACATGGGCAAATGGTAGCTACTTCTGTTAACAGCTGTATCCTGAAGTAGTGTTACATCTGATGCCAATACTTTCTTTTCAGACAAGAAATCATAGAGCAGCTGCTGTCTAATATTTTTCATAAAGAAAAAAATGAATCTGCAATAGTCAGTGCAATCCAAATACTATTGACCTTACTTGAGACAAGACGACAGACGTAAGTGGTGTTCTTTCACTTAAATTATGCCTGCATAATTTAACTAGACTACTGTTCAGCAATAGCAAGTGTCTTCCATGTATTAATGGCTGAACCATTTTTGTGACCTGTTGTCGCTGAAGAAGTAAAAGAGCAAACCAAGTGATTGCGATTGGCATTACTACACTTTCACCGAATGACTAGTCTTTCTGCATTGTTTTCTAGAAGCTAGTTTAAGTGCCACTTGACAGATCGGACTAATTACAGTTCATCAGTTTGTTTCTGGATACAGGGAATAGAGTAAATATGTACAGCACAGTGAGTGGGTATTGACTTCTTTTTAAAAAGTTATTTGGAATTTTATTACAACTTCACTTGGACAAACGGCTGAACAGATCTCTGGTACATTGAACTTGTTTATGTTGTTCCAGATAGATGAGTGAAGCACTTGGTCTGCCTCAAAAGAGGAAATAGAACAGCTGTAATGTTTAATCTCAAAACCATACTGGAGATTTCAAGCACAATAAATCGAAAAATACTAGGGCTCTAGTGTTTGGAAAAATCTGGTTCAACCATTACTTCACCTTTAATTTATATTCGTAACCTTGTGTTTTTACTTGCCTCTTCATTCTTTTCACGTGCCTTCAGAACTGTGATATTGTCAAAATCATACCTTAAGGATGTTTTACAACTAGTTTTGATATTAATTATCGGATTTTGCATGTGTGTGTTTTAGATTTGAAGGCCATATAGAGATCTGTCCTCCAGGCATGAGCAATTCAACATATTCGGTCAACAAAAGTGTTTTAGAAGCCATAAAAGCACGACTTTCATCCTTCCATGAACTCCTACTTGAGCCTCCAAAAGTAAGTGAAGCATTGTGTCACCAAATTAATTGGAACAAGACTATCACTGTGTGACTGTATTTTAGGCAGGTTATAATAACAAAAGAAAACACAGTTTGACAACTTTGAGGCAAGTGCCCAGGCTTCTTCCCAGCCTGTTGTGAGCTTTGCTGTTCATTATTGTTCTCCAGCCAATGTGTTGTGCTAATTGATATGCTTCTCCAGCTTAAACTTTGTTTAATTGGCAGAATAGCCTTGATGCAATTACTTCTTTCTGAAAGCAATGAAGAGATTTGCTATATATTCTCAAGGTGGGTCCTGTTTTCTGCTTGGAAATCCTGTCTGCATAGGAAACATGGACTGTGGATGCTTCAATTGTTTGGAACTTTGGCATGGCCCACATGAGGCCTGCACAATTCCTCTAGACTTGCCCAGGACCCAAGTAGACCAGCTCCACGGCATGCACCCTGCACTCTAGGCATGTTAAATTCTTTGGGCTTTTTAACTGATTTAAGCAACTTATCTATGTCATGCTGTTGCAAAAGATAAGTACAAGATGTATAAATAGGGAGTTTACCTATGATCCATTTATATTTTTCCACTCAAATTTTCACTGGCAAAATTTCAGCTGGAGCACTGCACACTGAACTGGGTGCCACAGTCCACAAGAGAGACCTGTGGGCCAAAGTGAAAATAAAGACCAGAGGTTTATAAAATACCAGATGGGGGGTGTCAAGGTAGTGTTAAAGTTTATTTTATCTTGGAGAAGATGAGACCTCAAGATTTCCAAATGCAGAAGAGGTAATAAAATGCAAAGAAACTGTCTTCTCTTTATTGCAACAACATGGCAAGATACAGGTTTATATTACAGTAAAAGCAGGGTCACATAAGATACTTGAGTATTTTCTGATGATTGGACATACTTAGCATTTGAATAAGTCATCTAGTGAAGTTATTGAATCTGTTGCTCATTTTGAGCACTAGTTAAATGAGCATCCTTAGATTTTTGCCTTATGTAAGGAATGGACTAAATGAACTAGCAGGATGTCAGTATTCTTTTTACTGATGCAAGGGTGGTGCTGGCCAGGCAAAAATGACATCCAGTGTTACAGAAGGCAGTAGTGGTCTCCTTGTCAAAATGTATTTGTGCCTTAAGATAGGAAGACATTTTCATTATGAATTCCCCTGCTCACTGCATATTTGGTACTAGATTTTTAGTTCTTATGGTAGCTAATACCAAATTTTTCTTATTGCCACTTAGTTTTTCGACAAGAGTTCTGGTTTGTTAACCAGCTAAAATTTCAATGTAAGAACCACGAAGCTTATGATTGTATTATAAGGACCTAGTAGTGGACGGAAAGAGATTCTCTCTGTGTTGGAAGTAACTCTTTCAAAGACTACAGATGGTGCTTTTTTCATGTATAACATTAGAATAAGACACCAGAGAAGCTTGTTGCTTAATGATATTGTTTTCAAGTATATGAAGTTAGGGTTGTTGAGGCATTATAATATATTCAGAGACTGTCCACCTAGCTGTTTTGTGTACATTGTAACAATGTAGACTATAGCTGTACATGGATTAACCAGTGAGAAGCATTTCCTAGGAAGTATCTCCTAATTCCTTTCAAGGTTGGGTAGAATGCATCTACTTTGAGATCCTGTCTGTAGTTAACAATCAATTTTTACAATGTTGATGGTTTCATGTGGCTATTTTTAGTGCTTATGTCTATGGAGTTAAAATAAGCTATAGTGTTCAGAACTAAGAATTGCTTTTTTCCAGGGTGAAGGTAAGACTGCTCAAGGACTGATTGTATATTTTTAAGTACTACTCTGTCATTGTGCATAGGAATGATGAGCTGGCTTTTTAAAGATATTTTAATGTGTTTTTATGTATGTACCTTTTTTTTCTAGAAAAGTGTCATGAAGACAACCTGGGGTGTATTGGATCCACCTGTGGGAAACACGCGTTTAAATGTGATTAGATTAATATCTAGCCTTTTACAGACAAATACAAGCAGTGTGAATCAGGAGCTTATAGAGCTTAACAGTATAGCAGTAATACTGGTAAGAAATATGCTGCCTTCTTTATCTTTATGGATTGCTATTAAGATCTTGTCTGTTTTTTTCTGTCACTGCAGATAATTTGTAGTGTATTTTCCAGCCTAACTTTTCAGCCTGTTTGTGTTGTGGCTTCTACTGTACCATTTAAGAACTTTTAATATTGGATTTTACTGTTAAATTCATCTGCCTGAAGTCAGCATTTTCCTCTAATCACTTGAATGGTTCTTATTGTCTATGCCTTCATAAATATATGAAGTGGTTTGTTAAAACTTATTTTTTCATCTGTATGTTCTCACGTTTTCAGCCATGTTCAAGGCTTTCCCTGCTGTTTTCATTCTTTTCCTAAGTTGTTCCCTCAAAACCCCCTTTCATCTCTTAATAATATATGGCACACCAAATAGTATCTCAGCACTGTCCTATAAAGGGACAGTTATTTTTCGTAGCTCATACACCTTCAAACCTCTGAGAGCAAGATGTTGCACAGCAAACTCAGTCAGTTAACTCACTGCTTTTTGCCAATGTGGAATGTGTACTTCGAGTACTTCCTACCTCATACTTCAACTATAGCAGGACATATTCTTTGTGTTTAGGTTTACCAAAAAATTCAGATGTTGGTATCACTTAAAAAATAATCAGCAGAACATGCTAGAACTTACAGTATAATTTCTCAATATAGTATGTAAACTTCTGCTTCTAAGCAGGCAGTTGCAAACTTGAAGTGTAAGTATTTTCTCTGCCTCAAATTGTTTTAGTATAAAATCCCTTTTTCCTTGAACTAATTAATACAGCTATGGTTGTAATGTCTTCATCTCAATTTCTGTGCACAACTTTGGTTTGCGGACAGGTGTTAACTTGTATACAAATAGCTAACTTCACTGTAACTGAAGTTTTTCCTAGATGTGTTGTCCAAGGGAACGTACATGCTATGAACACTTGCGTGTTCTTATAAGTAGATTATTTTGTAAACTAAATTCGGTGAGGTTTGAACATGCTTTTCTGTTGGAGGTTTTACATAAAGAAAAAAGTAATTGTAGCCATATAAACTTCTTGGTGCTTAATGCTGTTTGCTGAAACAGCATATGCTTTACTGTGCAGATTTCACTGTTAGGAAAAGTAATTGTCTAGTTCCAGTAGCATATCTTTATGGGAAGCTGTCATTAGTTTAGGAAGACTGAAGGAAAATTAGAGATCTTTAGCTGTATTTTGAATGAGGCTTACTTTAATACTGTTCCAGTCACTGCACATATTTCCATAACTAATTTCATTTTACCAGTAGCAGCAATCATTTGAGTTTTGCAGTAAGAAGTAGTCTAAAATAACTGGACAAAAAGCTTGAAAAAATCTTGCCCATGTTTAAGAGGAAAAATGTGGAGAACCAGGAACATGACTGAATGAACACTGTTTATTGTATCTCAACATCAATATTTGTCTGTGTCTTGTGTAAGGCGTTTAATAATCTTAAACTGCATCTAGATTATCTGAGGTAGCTTTCTGTAATAGAAGAATAAAATTAGTAGATGACAGGTTCAAAACAGGTAGATACGATTTTGTAAGGGATCTCGCTGAAGTGAGGAGCACATTATAAACGGTATTGTAGATGGTAGAAGGTTAAGTCAACTCAAAAAAGAGAAATCCGTCAAGGGCTACTAGGGTCATAAATAGCACTTCAGCCCAGAGAGCTCCACAGTCAGAAGCTAGCAGAAAGAATGTAAGTGGGGAGTGTCATTCCTCCCTGTCTTTGTTCTCTGAAAGTGCAAAGAGTTACCCCTGGGATAAATCCAGTTACAGTTGAGGTTTTGTTCTGATGCAGTATGATAGTCCTTGTGTTCAGATAATAGCAAGCACAAGAATTAACTTATTTGTAGGTCACAAATTTTCTCTTGCATAATAATACTTACTGTAAAACTTCAAGAATTTGTTCCAGTGTAGCCATTCAGATGACTTGCTGGGGTGAGACTATTGGTTATGTTTAATGAAAAGACTTTAGTAAACCTTGTTGAATTTGTTTTTCAGGACATGTTCTTTAAGTATACATGGAATAACTTCTTGCATACTCAAGTAGAAATCTGTATTGCATTGATTCTTGCAAGTCCTCTTGAAAGCACAGAAAATAGCACAATTACAGATCAGGATTCCACTGGGGACAATCTCTTACTGAAACATGTAAGTTGTGTTTTTTTGGGAATCTCTTGAATTTTCCTGTCTCCAGACTATTGTAGCAGTTACTCTTACATAAAATATACCCCAGTTTTACTTTATTTATGTATAGAATGAACAGGAATATTTTTCTGTTTTACTTAAAATGTCAGTTCAGGGTGTTAAACCTGAAAGTGCCATAGAGTAGATTTTTGCTGCCCCAAAGTGAGCATGTGTGCAGAGCTGCAAGTATTTATTTTCCTTGAAGAAGAAATTTCTCTTATTTTTAAGAATTAAAATTGCTATTTCAATAGCTTTATGCTACTACAACTCAGCAGCTCTAAAGAGAAGCAGGATTAACGTAAATTTAGCTTTTAGGTTTCTGGTTGGGATCTGACTGCTGCTTCTGAACTTTAAACCCTTTAATAAAGTACTTATCCTGAACCTGAAATTAGTTCTCTTGTAAGACTTCAGTATTTGTTAAAATCAACTGTAAAATGCATAATAGTTCCACTTTACTGCTACTAAGTGTATTTTGTTTTTTTGATAGCTCTTCCTTAAGTGCCAATTAATAGAACGAATACTTGAAGCATGGGAGATGAATGAGAAGAAACAGTGAGTAACCAGTTTTCTTATTCCCTGCAATTGTCTACATAAGACTTGAATTGTGAAATGAAAGTATGACCAGTTCATAACTGATCTGCCCAGTTCTAATGTTAATGTATGTTAATAATGTATGTTAAGTATGTTAATATTTGGATTAAAGCTTTCTCTTGTACTACTTTTTGGTAGCATTCTAATGCTTTTTCCCATGACCACTTGAGAATACAATAGTTTGTCTTTCTTAATATGTATAAGATATTACTATGATCTTTGAAATCTACCCATCTTCAAGTACAGAAACATACCATAAGTTTTGAGAGGACAGGAAATACTTTTCTCCAGTAAGCAATTGAAAATTATTTATAAACACATCAAAGCATATTACATATTGGGGAGCAACAGACTCCTAAGTAGTAAAAGCGGAGTCCTCAGCAATGGAATACCTTCTAAAAGTACATGTTTGTGAAAGGATGGAAGTTTCAAGTAGCTAACGTTGTCTGAAACTGTGTTCCTAAGCAGGAGAAAAAACCCTTAATCTTCACCTGAGGTGGTAGAATAGCTCTCTGAAGGCTCATAAGTTTGGCTCAGGAGATACTGAACAATAAATATTAGGTCTAACTTGTCAAAATACTGAACTAGATGACAGGGATAGTGTTGCTGGTTTGCTGGTGTATTACTTGAGACAGTTCTACTCCCCAAAATATTCCTGTTCCTATTTGATGTGAATTAGATAGTGAATATATGGCTAATATAACTGATGTGAAAATAAGGATGTTGAAGTAGGTGAGGAGGGTGGTACAAAGAAAGGGATTGTGACTTAATTTAACTGTAGAAAACATGCTCTCCCAAATGTCTTCGATTTTATATTGTATTCTCTTGACGTCATAGAGAACTGCCAACTTTATCAGCAAATAGATTCTCATAGGAGAGAAGTATGGAAAGTTATTTCCATAGATCCAACCTAAAACCATTATTTGGTTGGATAAGAATGTTCTTGACCCAGTGCTTACCATATGGATGAATTAATTAAATTTTTAGTCTCATGATTGCAAATACTAATGTGGAAAATATTGTTGTAAACCACAGATTATGCTTTTATATGGAAAGAATTGATTTTTATTTGCGAGAAACAAGTAGACTGTTGTAAGTAATCCACCCTTTTATCCAGTTTTATACAGGTATGACTCCAAATAAAAAAGATAAGTCTTTAAAATAATCTAAAGGTATTTTTAGCTTAGCTGCTTCAGGAAATGGATTTTTCGCTTTTTTATGCTTTTGTATTCTGTCACTTACTATTATTTCGAGCAGCTCTAGAAGCTTGAGGGTGACTGCTTTCTGCTGGTAAAAATCTGACATCTGACAAAGTAAAAAGCTTTTTGATTCACTGGGATGATTAAGCCTTTGCTAATAGAAAATACAATCGCATTCTAGACATTTTGGCTAGGCAATTACCAGTCAGTCCACTTTGTCAAATACGAGCGCTCTTTATGGCATATCCTGTATTGGAAATGATAACCTTTGCCATCATCACATGTTGCTTGTTTTGAATGTACGTGTTACCTAAGCAGTCAAGGAAATAAGACAGGACTCTCTCTCTCAAGTTGTTCCTGTGAACAATGTGATACTGTTTCATTCATGACGTCTTGCATTGACGTAACATAATCTCAGTTATTACCTCATGTGTTAGATGATGATGGTGGAAAATCAGGTAATGTGATTTGTGTTTGCATAACGTAAGCTACTTCCTGAACTGCTGTTACTTTACAAAGATTTCAGTCAGTCAAGTTTAAGGCTTGGGTCTTTCTTGATTTTTTTTTTTTTTTTCATTTTAAAAAGCACAAAACCTTAAAAAGCTGACACAGCAAATGTCTGGTTAGCTTGCAGCTAAATTCTAGAAATGCAGTCCAAGTTGGAGCTCTCACTTTAGCTCTTTGGTCACATCTAGAACACTTTCAGCTGACCATAGCTACTCAAAGCACTACTCTAAAACCTGGTAATTCCTGTTTCTACAAAGCAGTTCTGTCACATAAAAAATATTCGAACCGCCTTTTAATTGTACCTGTCATTCCTAAACTTCAGGAAAGCAACGATCCTAACTTAAATTTCAGTTGGTCATACCATTCCAGCTCTGTATGCTAAATGCAATGTTAAGAAACTCTGCTATACTAGAGCACGCTTAGGATTTAAGAATTTTTTGTTCATCGACTCAGAGCTCTGAGAGAATGTTCAGTGTATTGGGGTTTTGAAAAATACTCTCAGCAACAGAAATTTCCTAAAAACTGTAGATTGGTTGTTAATTTTGTCTTTATCTTGATAACGCTGTACATTTTTCTTCACACACGCAAACATGAAAGCAGAAATAGTCCGTTCAGATACTGCACATCCTTCTTGGTAGTTTACAGGCTTGTTAAGTCTTCTAAACTGGCTCAGTGTAGTCAAACCAGCTGGTATCTTAAATTCTTGAGTATTTTTGTGAACCTTTGGTTTTAGGATGCAACTCTTCTGCTTAAGAACTCCTACGCTATTTGTCCTGTGTAGTATAAATATAGTAGCACAGGTTCTCTGAGTGTGGGCAGCTGAATTCCTTTTGTCTCTTGCAGGGCTGAAGGAGGAAGACGGCATGGCTATATGGGTCATCTGACAAGGATAGCAAACTGTATTGTGCATAGTACAGATAAGGGGCCAAACAGTACACTAGTCCAACAGCTCATTAAAGGTAACGTTAATCATCTGAAGTTTGTCTTCATGACTTTCATTATCAAATTTTGAGAAAATGAGTCAAACTTAAATTAAAAGTCAGCTGTTGGATAAAAGAAGAAAATATTGATTATTTCTGACTCATTCAATTTAAAACCAGCCATCCTTAAACATATGTTTAAGTCTTTTTTTCAAACAGTATCAAAGCTCCCTGAAATAAATGTGAAGAGATACTGACCTGCTTAATTTGGACTTGTTTGCTAGATGGAGTAATCCTTACTGATTTAGGAGGATGTATATGTTCCTTTCAGTATTTCTGGTAGAGCAGAAAAGAACAATTAAAAATTAAGTGGTGCTCCATTGTTGATAGTATCAAATTTTTTTTTTCCTGTTTCCTATGGTAGAGCTTCCAGAGGAGGTCAGAGAGCGATGGGAGACATTCTGCACAAGCTCTTTAGGAGAAACTAACAAGAGGAATACAGTGGACCTGGTATCTGCTGTTTACTTGGGCCCCAGTTTCTTTTTGTCAGCAGCACAACCAGTCTTCCCAACTACCATGTACTTGTGTCAACAAATATATCTAGTTGCTGAGCTATGGAACTGATAATTCATTAGTTTATTTTTCAACTAAAGCCATATCGTTAATATTTTGTATGGGAATCTTGCAGTAGCTCAGTTTCTATAGCTCATCCCAGACAATTGCCAAGAAGGAAGATTTCTTTACAGCTTCAAGTTAGTGTCCTTGAAAGCTCCTGTGTGCTTGAAGAGTACAAACTAAAACTGTCGGAGCTGGTGTTAATTGCTTTATCTGCAGTATGTAAATGAGCCTATGTAAGTTTAATGGGAAGATGCGATCTGCATCCCACTGCATGTGTTACTGACCTTGCTTAAGTAACTTTTTGCATACTTTTGTTGTGCTCCTGTCATATATTTTCTGCACACAGCAGTAGTGGTTACCGTTCCAGAAAAAAGCTAAACTTAAGTAGAAGTATGAAGAGGTTTTGTGTAATCATGTTAAACATACAGTTTAAGAATAATCACTTGGAGACTTTAATAAGCATGTCATTTCCAATGTCAACACACCAGTTAATGAATTTTAATATACCTGACTTCTCCAGGAATGCAGTGCTTTGCATGTGGCTTCATTAACTTGTAGTGGTGCTATATTAATTGAGCTATAAGACTGTTAAATTTGCTATTTCAACATAATAATATAGCAATGGGAACATAATGCTAACATGATGTGTGTGGCAATAGAAGCAATAGGAAATTCATCTGAAACTGTGCAACTTGTGGACAGGACCAAATGATGTACAGATTATATTTTTTCCATGAGCCTGTGAATGCAAACAAGTTCATAGTGTTTGTAGAATAATGATATTTTCCTCTTGTTAGAAACTACTTGTTGGGCAAGGCCAAGAGAAGAGTCATGTAAAGAGGCAGAATTTTAAGCTGATTTATAATTAATAACATTGTAGTTAGATCTTTAGATATGTAAACATTTACTTGGTTGTACTTGATGTAACAACAGTAAAACCTCATTTAAAACATATCTCCAAACTCCACAATACTCATTTGAATAGAAATATGAAGCATTAAAACAAATTCTTGTATCTGAAATGCCATCTGGAAAATACTGTGTCTTTGAATTTCTAAAGTTATACGCTTTGTTTCTGCTTGCGTGATCAATTCTCTGAGCCTTGGATTATCATTTAATTCAAAGATAAGCAGTAATGGACAATACAGTGTGGTGTAGGAGATATTAAAAGACAGATCTCATTGAAAACTCAGCTTGTTGTTTTACTGAGTCAAATTTAAGTTACGGTTATTGTATGGGTGTATCCGGAAAGCACAGCCCCGTACTATTTCTTCTCAGTCATACTGTCCCCTAATATCCATACTTTTGATCTGTGCTTTGGTCTCCATACACCTGTCCTCTCCATCTATAAACCTGGACAATTTGGTATGTCTGAGTGTTTGAGGTCCTCTGTAAGTCGATGACAGCATCCTTGGTTAAAACAACAGCTTATCAGAACTAATGTAATGAAAAATTATACACCTGATTTAAAGTGCAGATTTTCAGTGTCCCTGGAGCAAGATCTTAAGCACACCTTTCTTAATTTTCTATGGAATAGCCTTAAATTTATTGCTGGGTAGATGAGTAGACTTATTTACTTGGTTCAAGGTTTTCCTGTCCTAAGCAAGCTGTTGAGCAGAATCTAGTCATGGGTGATATAATAGTTAGGCACACAGTTCCTAACCTGAATGATGGAACTGTGGTTTACCGTTATACTACTACTTCAGGCAATTTACTGGATTTACTAAGCTCAGATGATCTGATCTTTATGTGTATGCATACTCTTATGATGTGAAGTTCATTAAAAAATACGTAAATAAGTTAGCTGTGTGAAGGCTGTGGAAATAACTGATCTTGTGAGTACTTTCAATGCTTCAGTTATTTGGTGCTCAACAAAGACAGCTCTTACTATAATGGAACAAGGTGTGTGGTCCTGGGGTCCCATGGGTAATGAACTGCTGCTGCAGCCATGAGACTATTCTTTTTCAGTTGTTTTACATCAGGGATGTTGATTGTAAATTATAGAATCGTTTAGGTTGGAAAAGACCCTTAAGATCATCAAGTCCAACTGTTAACTTAACATTGCCGAGTCCAACACTAAACCATGTCCCTAAGCACTGCGTCTACATGTCTTGTAAATCCCCCCGGGGATGGGGACTCACCCCCTCCCCTGGCCAGCCTGTTCCAGTGCCTGACTTCCCTTTCAGTGAAGACATTTTTCCTAATATCCAATCTAAACCTCTCCTGGTACAACTTGAGGCCATTTCCTCTTGTCCTATCACTTGCTGCTTGGCAGAACAGACCAACCCCCACCTCACTACAACCTCCTTTCAGGTAGTTGTAGAGAGCGATAAGGTCTCCCCTCAGCCTCCTTTTCTCCAGACTAAACAACCCCAGTTCCCTCAGCTGCTACTCCTGAGACTTGTTCTCTGGACCCTTCAGCAGTGTCCTTGCCCTTCTTTGGACATGCTCTATCTATCAACACTTTATCCCTCTTTAGGCTTTTCTGTCTTTCAAACAAGTTCTTGTTATGTTTTCTAAAACAACAGTAACTGCAGACTTAGAAGTGCGCATGTAGCAGAACTATCTCAGAGTTTCCCCAGAACACTTTACAGACATTACAGGACGTTTATTTTTGTTTCTCCACTGCTAATTGTCCTTTGGTAGAAGGTAGGCAGTACTTCACTAAGCTTACCTACTTACACTTACCTAGCTGAAGATTAAACAAATGTGTAATTGATCATTTTCTCTTTAGACAAGGTGCATTAATGATGCTGGTATGGTGAAGAATGCTATACGATTTGTAATACTAGGTTTGTACAAGACACTTTGTATAACTTCAGATGTGTCTCTTATGGCATTATTCCAGTATTAGTCATGATACGGAATGATTGTGAGGTACACTTAAAGACTCGATGAGGAGAATATACCTCCTCTAAGCCTAAAAATAACAGTCTACAGGACAAGTTGTTCATGGTTGTCTTAAAAATCACCATGTAGTTCCTTTCTCTTAAGGAAAATCCTTCTCAATATTACCAGGAAATGAGGCAAAAAATGTCACACGTTACAATGAATTATTTGCAAAAAGTGCCTGTGCTGTGTGTTAGCATTAGAAAGCAACTAGTCTGAATAGTGAGGAGCTTTCTTAAGTAAATAATTAATTGCTGAAATTTGCAGTGGTCATTTCCAATCCCTTCCCTGGCATAATTTTGCCATTTACTTATTAGGGTGGAGTAATGCTTGTTTCTTCTTTCAGGTTTATGCTTCAACTACAGCAGCTGTCAGAAAACAAGAGAAGTAACTCATGTATCTTAGGCCTTAGGTCCTGTTCGTTCCCAAGGGGAGAGTTTGGGGGAGAAGACACTATGTCTAGCTAAGAGTCCTGAGCTTGTTTCTGTTACAGCAGTAAGGGCAGGATTTCTACTGGGGATTAACTCATTCATTAGTAGTAACTAAAACTAAATAAAGAGCTTCTTACTTGCTTTTGGGTGTCTTTGTGCCCAAAAAGTTGCAGTTGTAGGCGGAGTAGGTATATTATCTCTTGTCCTTTCAGAATGTGCCCACATGACGGGGATGGTATCTAGGGCAGCTCAGGTTGTGGTATGGAATGCCATATAATTACCTTGAAGTATGCAGACTTTGCAATAATATTTTCATAAATATACAGTGAGTGCTAATGTTCAATGGACTTGGTCTGTCATTTGATGTAACAGTTCTTCTCCAGACACAACAAGCCCAGAGATCATTTGGTACATTATTCGTCTTCACACTTACTGACAGTTTTAGTGTTGATAGGTCAGGTTTCCTTCAGAAATTCACTAACTTGAAGTCAGGGTACTTCTAGTACCTAGCAAATTGCAGTGCAGGGCTGGATGGTAGATGTGCCAGAATAAAGCACTCCCAATTATTTTTTTAAGTGTTATACTGACAGAGGGAAATGCATAAAAGCACAATATACTTCAGATGGTAACTTCCTTCATTTCTCTCTTGCACGTGTGTCCTGACTGTAGCATTGTCCTGTGATATTTGTGGGAGCATAGAAAGGTGTCTGTCTTGTATGTGTTTCGATATTCCTTTTGTATAGACTTGTATTTTCTTCAAAAAATAAAAAGAATCCGTGAACCACCTGACTTCACTTGAGAATCTGTGACATGGAGTTCTAGGGGTGTGTAGAATAATGCAATATATTATAGTGCAGTATAAATTTTGTCATCTGTAAATTTTCTTTATACTAGTGATCCTTCATAGAGTATGTCTTAAGGGTCAACTGTCGCTATTGTTACTTTAGCTAATTGCTGTCACAGCTAAAATTACTTTTGGAGTCCTGTTCTGATTGAAGAGGAGTACTTCCAAGAATGTGCTGGTTAGATAGCAGTGTCGCTGAACAAACTATTCCCGCTAATTCTATGTCAGATCATCAAAAAAATCCCTTCTTTCAAGGGTAACATTTAAAACAGCAGCTGCTGTGGCAACCGCTCCATGTTTGTTTCTGCAAGTACACATTGGTTACGAATTTCTGAAGTTTAATTCTTTTGTCTTTTTGCAGATACTGTAGATACATAAAAATTAAAGGGAAACTGTATTAGGTATTTTATATATAGGAAGGGAGGAGGATCTCTGTATATAATCTAGTATTTTGGTGACTACTAATTCACTTGCTGTTCAATGTATTTCGTGCAGTACAAAGGCAAGATGCAAGTTTTGTCTCATTTTGTTTTAGATAACTGTCAATTGTAGGACTGACTTTTTATGTTAAATAATCATTCCAAAGTAGTCAAAAGCTTTGGCTTTTTTGGGGTATCTAATATCATGTATGTGTTAATGCTATATTTCAGGGACTGTTTTATGTGGTATAGCAGTTGGGAAAACTAAAAATAATTCCGTTTCTTGTTTTGATACGGAACTGAAGATTCAGCCAGATAGCATGAGTATACTTCAGTGGCTGTCACATACTATACAAATGACTAAATTCCTTTGTATAGGTTACTACCTGCCACATTCATTCTTCCAGTGATGATGAAATTGACTTTAAAGAAACTGGCTTCTCACAGGATTCTTCTTTGCAGCAGGTGAGTTGAATTCTTTTAACAGCATAAATTGCTTTTTCTGTAAAAATAAATAAGAAATTTTTAAAAAGCAGTGGAACTTGTATTTCTATTTCTATCACAAGCAAATAGAACAAAGAAATGCACACATCTGTGTTTTATTAAACCCAGAGCTATGGTTTTTAACATAAGTCACAATATCTTGGTGTGCCTTCCACTTTTTAGTCTTTGATCATGCTGTGTATTCAGATCTCTGCTCATTATGCCTAAGAACACATTTTATATGCCAACTGTCTGGCTAAGTTGAACACAGTTTCTATGTTTACTTTAGTTCTTACTAGATATAGAAGTTTGAAATGGAGGCTTCTAATTGTGTTTTCTGGCAAGCGTGAATTGCTATGAAAGCAAATATGGGTTTCTGTTTGGTTTTGCTAATAGATTAATTTTTAAACGTTGACGCTTATTTTGATGAGGAAATAAGGAGGATTGGCTATTTGTTGTTACATGCTTTTAGTTTTTGGCAAAATGTCAAACTTGGCAGCTGTCACAATATAAATGAAGACCTAAGTATGCTCCTGTGACAGGTTGTATCTAGCAGCTTGAATGTTTTTAACCTTGTAGACCCTTGATACCGAGAAAGTGTATATAGCCAAATCTTTCCTGAACTAAATTTCCGGTGAAATTGATCACTTATTTTTAAATTCAGTATATGCTTTTGACAACTCATCTGAGAGTATTTCAAAGATAATTATTTATAATTTGGTTTAATGAAAAAAAAAAAAAATTGAGAATGCCTAGGGAATTTTCAGATCAACCAGACTGAAAACTTAAGTCAAATCTGTGTCCACCTTGAAGTTTTAATGCTTTCATAGCTGACTAATTGATAATGATACAGTGTTTAATATGGTTATGGTATTAGAGTATTTTTGTGATGAGTGATTATGGAGATCATTGGTGCCATTTTGATGAAGAACGACAGCATTTCTGTAATAGTACTGTCCTATCTGCAATATGCATCTCTATGTCTTTCACTGGTGGTGAAAGAGTGGAGCCGTGTGGCATAAGACTGCCGATAGATTGCTTATACAGAACACATTACTTATCTGGGTTATTAACCAAAATCTTTCAGCTCGCACTAACAGCTATATAGTAACTACCTGGTCTAAGACTGGTGTCAGTACTTTATGCATCTTCTACAGTTTTTATAATAAGTAATTGCTTATCTAAGTTTGAATTGTGGGTGGTGGCTCAAGTTTTAAGAATCTGATGCGTTTTTATCTGATTCAGTGATTTTGTGCATGTAAGGTGCACCTGAGTACAAACTTGGTAAGTTGGGTGCTATCTGTAGCAGCTCTAGTGAGAAAGTAAGATCTTCAAATATCTCTGGGCTTTTCATGCATTCCCTTAGTGACCTGCTGTGCCTAGGCAAACCCAGCAGTTCCAGGTAGTTAATCTGGAGAAATGCAAATGGTCCAGTGCTGTTTCTTTCAAGTTTGTCACCATTTTCTTAATCTTTTTCCTAAGCTAAGCTAGTGAAATGTACTTTCTAAAGTGGTCTTGTGAGGAAAGCATGATACTACACAAGATAAATCACTGATGGGAAATGCATTGAAATTACTTAAAGCGTTCTCCAGCTGCACGAATTTGTTCATTGAGGTGTCTCTGGCTTCAGCTAGAATACCCTATTCTAGACCAATAGTTAAAGGAGGAAACAGGAGGCAAATTTCCAAAATTGAAGTGGACCCATTAGGAATTGGATAAGGGAGGAATATACTAAGGAACCTATTCATCTTTGGTTTATTTTTGTCAAATTTAACTTCTGCCTGTGCAGAATTACTTTTGCTATGACTTCTTTCTTCTGGCATCCAAATCTAGTTCGAAATCCAAGTCTAATGAAGACCCTTTGTTCCAGAGGGGAAGGTTTCCTTTTTCACCCTTTTTCTCAGAAACACTTTTTATGTAAGTTTCTGAATAACACTTCAAAACTGACATCTTTGAAAGAGTATTCCATCACCTAGTTCTGGGTTGTAAGGTTTCTCATGCCAACAGTATTTAATGTGCTGTCTTGCTGTGGCTCTGGAAACTTTTACTCCAGGAAGGCATTGCTGTTCTGTTCTCCACCAGCTTAGTACCACTTTTTGTCTCTTTTAAGCATACTGGAAATATATTAGAGAATGGGGTAGAACTGTCTAGGGTCTGAGATACACTAGCAGTTTATAACTGCATTTTATGTAATTGTTGTAGACAATTTTGATGTAGTGATAAGATTTCACACTAGTTTCATAACTAGCTGATGTCATAAACTTCATGTCTTAATTTTCTGCTTATCCTGATGAGTGGTGTTCTTAATGGTTGCACCTTTTATAAAACAGAACAAGTCTGGTTAGCTGCTTGGTTTTTTTTTCTTCCCATAGAGGTAATTCACTAATGTCTTTCAGTCAGATGCACTTTTTAATATCCATAATAGTGAAAATACTTTACAAGAAAGGAGATTTCAGTAACCAGTGTAAAGCAGAGTAATTGTTTTACAGTCAGTAATTAATTGTCTACCTGTGTAATATTGATATACTAATTGTGTTAGTATCAAATCCTGAAACTACAGATTTTAAAATTTAGGATCAACATGTAAAAGAGTTCTTGTTTTGGCCTGGCTTAGCATAGTGACCCTACCAGTCATGAGGGTTTTTTTCAGACCCACTGCCAGCCCTGATAGTGTCTTGTATACCTCATCCTTCTATATCTCCTTGCTTTTTCCTCCAGTTTTCATAATGCCTTAATCCAAACTTGCTTCTTTTGACCATTCTCTTGTTTTCTTTCCATATTCACTTTGTTCAGCTTTACTACCGTCTTCAAAGGTTTTGTCTGTATACTGTGTCCTTTTAGTTACCTGGGCAAGAAACCAAGACAGTTGACATGACAGCTGTATTTCCTAGAATGTCTTAGCATTGGCTGACTTTACACATGGAAATAACACTATTGAAATTCCCTAGAGAATGTGTCATAATATAATTATAGTCCTGGGAAATAAGGCACAAAACCTCTTATGTTTTGTATAGGACAAAACATGCATGTGTACCTTTAATGTGTATATACCCATCTGCTGGCAGTTGACACTGGCATATTTATTTAAAAAAATAATAATAAAGCACAGTTGAGTCAGTGACACTGCATTGAGATGTAAAATGTTCAATAGTTCCCTTCTTCTAGATGTTGGTGTGTGTGCCTGAGAGATATTTCTAGTGATAACTACATGATAAATATGCAACTGTGCTTTAGTATCTATATATAATGTACTTTTCTGGATCTTACTATTTATAACTTCATGTTATTTTGAACAAAGACAACTTTTTCTTTTATCTAGTATACTGTGGTGTTTCACTGTTTCTTTGGGGTGCATTTGGAAAGGTGCTGATTAACATGTGGTTAAACTAGAGACTTAACTTCCTTATTGAGAGCTGCCATTAGGCTGGCTTTCAAGTCAGTAAATGTAACTAGGTGTGTAGTCAGTGTTACCATTTAAAATTCAAAGGTTAAGACAAATCCTTTTCCTGTCCTTTATGTTTAGATTAGAGAGACATTTATTTCTTTGGAGCAAAGTGGGCAAATAGGATTTAGAGTATTATTAGAATCATTATATCACTGTCGTTGGTCCTGGGGTTGCCAGGCCTTTTCTGATTATCAGATGCAACAAATGACGTCCAATTTTATTGACCAGTTTGGCTTCAACGATGAGAAGTTTGCTGATCAAGATGACATCGGGAAGTGAGTATAACGTTATACTGGCTTTGACTATAGTCCCGGGAATTTCCTTTCTTATTGTGTATTTGGCTGTGGTTTTGCTGATGATAACTACAAGCCTTTACTGATGTGAGGCAGTTGTCAATCAGTCCTGTCTTTTTGTACCATATGTGTGCATTGATAGAAGCCTCACTGAACAGTTTACAGAGGAAAGCAACAGCTTATCTTCCATTTCTAATGTCCTGGTTGTGCCAACATGAGAACACAGTGCTTGTGAATAAATAACTAAATTATAACACTGCTTTTGAAAGCTATGTCTGTCCAATGACATGGCATTGTTGGGGGCACTTTCACTTTCTCTGTGCCTCAATGGTGATTTTTTCCCCTGCTGAATCTATGTACCAGACCAGATCAATACCTCTACTTTTAAGTTTTCCTGGAAAAGATAACAGGAACAACACATCTGTGAGTGTGCTTTTCTGTAGGGGACAGGCAGATTTACGATGCCCTTTCTTACTTTGTTTTCATGGTCAAGACAGTTAATGCTCATTTCTACAAATAGGGTAAGTGATGAGGAAATGAGAACAATCTTGGTCAGGTTAAAAAAACAAACAAAACAAAACAAAAAAACCCACACAACAAAAACACCCCCCACAAAAACTGATCTCTGTCTTCAGGTCTAAGTAAACTGATGCCATAATGGGAAAGGGAAAGAATGGAGGTTCTTGCTGAAAATAGCGCTCGTCTTGATTTTTATAAGAATTCATGGTTTGGGATGCAAGAACATGCAGATAAGAGTAAAAAGCATTACTTGAAGATGGTTTCTGGAAGAGTAAAATACAATAAAATGTCTCAGTGCTCTTCTGTAAGACATGTTTAGTGCGTGGTGGTTGACTGAAGCTTGCACATGTATTGTTGCCTTTTTACACCACATAATCTGCTGAAATTATAGATTAAGATGTGATGGGAGAGGAAGCAACTCAGGAAACCCTTTAACTTTGTTAGAAGCAAGTGGATTTTGGCAAGGATAGGAGTTGGAATTCCTTTAAGATCCTTAAGATTTTTTTTAAAAAAAAAGAGGTTCATTTTTTTCTTTAGGAAACAGAAGTTGATATTACATTTTTTTAACTTTGTCTCTTCCTGTTGAGAAGGCCCTTCTATAGAGTGGTGAAATCAGTTAGAAGGTATAAGAACTGCTAACACAGATCTTTGCAGGATGTTGAGCTGTATCATGGTAGACCATAGTCAGATTAGGCATTCTTTAGGCCTACTTTTTTTCCAGTGCATAACAGTACAGTATTTGAGATTTGCATATATCATTTCAGTTATGCTTGCTTAGGCTTGTTGCATCTTCACAGCTAACTATAGGGTAAAGACGACATTGTTTTGTGTTTTTGTTTGAAATATTTCACAGTTAGAAAAATCACATGAATGCCAGGCCTCCTCAATGAGGAATTTGACTATTCTGTATTGGAAACTACTTTGTCTTTAATCTTATATTTTTAGATTATTGGAAAATGAGAAACCTAAGAGAAATGACATGTCTTCATGTCATAATACAACATCTTGTTTTATTGCATACATCTGTTTTTTTTGTAGTGTTTCTTTTGATCGGGTCTCAGACATCAACTTTACCCTCAATACAAATGAAAGTGTAAGTATGTGTTCCTGTACTGTCAGGAAAACTACTGTCTTTTAAACTTCGGTGTGACCTCAAAGTTTTGGTGGTAGTTATATTTACTCTTTAGATGTGTAATCTTTGGAAAATAGCTACCCTACCTTGTTCCTGTATCATGAGATTTTCTACTTGGAAGACACTATTGTTCTTTGTGATCAGTATTAGACAGAATTGCTTCTAATTTCTCTGGCCAGGTTCAAGAACAGGCTTGAATCCGATTTGTGCATATTGCACATGGTGTGTTATGGGTAGAAGCTATTTCAGTCTTCCAGTGGGATTGTGGTGACAGAAAAGTAAGGGCAGAGACTTTAACCCTAGATATTAATTGTCAGTTGGGCTGAAATGAACCCCACTACAGAAAATAAAGCTGGAGTACTTGGTGGTCTGGTTATCTGAAAAGCTCTTCAATGTCATTCCTGCATGCCATTCTTAAACATGATGGAAACTCCTAGCTGTTCTTTGACAGTCCACTCAACTTGTTAGTCGCTGAGTAAAACAAGCACCACTGAATATTTTCTTAACAAGCTTTAAGTTGTTAAAGACATTCTGGTTTTCTGCTGCTTTTAGAGAAATGTGTTTTTCCCTACTGGTTTAAGATTCTCTTCAGAATAGTCATTTATTTCCAAAATGTTTACTAATGTAAGTAGAATGATTAATCATAAATACAGATTTTGTACTTTTGCTGTGTTTAGGGCAATATAGCCTTGTTTGAGGCATGCTGTAAGGAGCGGATACAGCAGTTTGATGATGGTGGCTCTGATGAAGAAGATATTTGGGAAGAAAAACATATTGCGTTCACACCAGAGTCCCAGAGGCGTTCCAGGTAAGAAATGTGTTTTTCATCCAAATAGCAGTATAGTGAGCCCTCAATAGTGAGCATGTCTTTTGGTTCAGGCTGACTTGCTAGCAGAGGCTGTCCAGCATAACTAGCGATTTCCATTCTGTGAAGAAATGAGTAGAGGGATGGCTCTAGTGTCTATCTTCTAGCCATAATTTGCAGAAGATGGCAACAGCTGCCCTGCCTACTCAGCTCTTGCTGCACTTCAGCTTTTGTAGCTTGTTTTTTTCCTGCTGCTTATTCTTTCCTTCTGCCTTTAAACCTGCTCAGCCAGTCTTGCCTTGGACAAGGCAGTCCAGCTCCACATCTCTGTAGACCTTACTGTCCTCTCTACAGTACCAGTGTGGTTGTGGTCAAAACTGCATAGGAAGCTGCATTGAGGGGAAGGAGTATCTGGCCCCAGAAACACTCAGGATTGTGCAGCCTCCCTTGATATCTACTGAATTTTGTCCCAGGGTAGTCTTGGCTTTTCTGACCTTCTTGTGGCTTGAGTCACAAACCTGATTTCTTCTTCCCTTGCAGCCTTCGAAATGCATGTTGCTGATACCTTCTGTACAAAATCAATTATTTTGTCTGGTGGCATTGTGGTTACTTAATGTGATGTGTTTCAGGGACATCCTCACCTTCTCACATTACCTTGCTTTTTGTGTTAGTTGTGCTCACCAGGAAGGGAGAGATGCCCATAAGGTTTCAAGTGTGTATGTAGTCAAAGAGGATGGACTGAATACAGTTAGTTAGATTTTAAAATAGCTTTGTTGGATTATTTGTTAGGTTTGCAAATAAATTGACTTATATCTTGTTACATTGGTGTTGAAGAGTTTTGCATTTCAGTGCTTCTGTTTAGTGTGAAGAAACCAAATAAACCAACAATCTCTGTACACAGATCTAATTCCTTACTTTTGTTTTCTGCTCCCTTTTGCATGGCAGGAGTAAAATCAATCTTTGTCTTTTACTTGCAAATATTGGGGAAAAAGATAGCCTCTTTACATGATCAAGTGAAAAACCTTAAACCTTGGTATTTTGAGAGAGATATGAGGGGAATACTAACAGGTAACAAATTATACCTCAGTTAATCTATCAGAAATGATAGCTGTTGTAATTCTCTTTAGCCTCAAACTCTCCAGTATTTCATTGTGCCCAGGGTCTGACACTAAATACAGACTGTAAACTGTCTTTTTGTATTGTAAGTTCGGGCAGTACGGACAGTGAAGAAAGTACAGATTCTGAAGAAGAAGATGGAACAAAACCAGACTTGTTTGAATCGCACACCAATACAGAGGACAAAATGGAAGTAGACTTAAGTGAACGTACGTAGCTTTTCTCCCAGCTGCTTTGAGTTATAGGAAAGCGTTAGATCTAGCAATCTTATTTTGTGGGAGTATTCCTCATTTAACATTTTTATTCCAACTATCTTAATAAAGTAGTCTTTCCTACTGTAAAGACTGCTTGCAACAGAGCATGCAAATGTTGGGAAGTTTGAATTCTTTACATGTCTTGAGTCAAGTTATTTAATCTCTCTAAAATTCATGTTTCTGCTTTTCAAGAGGAAAAAAAGAAGGAGGAATCAGAAAGGGAAGGATGAAATGTAATCATTTATACATCTTGAATGCCTGCAAAACGAATAGGTTGTTGATCTCCAAACCTAAAATATGGTTATTTTTAGTGGAAGCCTTTCAGAACAACTTTTCAGCTAACAATGCTCTTTTAAAAGACTTCCTACAGAAGCCAGGTGAATTTGCATTGGTCTGGTTTCATGTGTGAATGAAAGATGCTCATCAGTAGGCTCTTATGTGGAAACAACTAATGTAATTGGTTTAAAAGTTTTCACGTTCAAGTCACAGTAGACTAAACTGGCTTTAGTTAAACTGGCAATATCTGTAGGTAAAAGCCCTGTGTTTATCTAGACTGTAAGGAATTAAATTAAAATAGAAGGAAAAGTTAAGGGTTTTCTTTTCTTTTGTCAGATTGGTGTCGTTGGCATCTGTGTGTCAAACAAGTTTTGATCCATGTGGGTCTCCTCCCATATCTGCCTGGGTTGGAATTTCTAATTGCTAGTCAGAGCTTCCTTTTCAGCCTGTTTTTTTGTATGTAAGTGTTAATGAAAAACATGTTTCCCTTGGGTAGGTGAAGTATTTTGAATTGACCTATCCTAAATTAGATGCTGTTAAGTCACAGTTGCTCCAAAATTTAAAATCCCAATAAATATTCTAAGTTATAAAAAGCCTTAAACTTTTCTGAAACTTAGCAGTGGTGTTAGTGCATGAGAAATTATTTAGAGACTGCCCATACCTAAGTTGACATGCTCATTTTTTATGTTCAAGAAAATGTTGCATAGGAAACTGAAAAAGGGATGAAAACTCTTTAAGATTTTTTTTTAATTATAGAAATCAGTTTTGAAAAATTATAACAAATGTTGATGTTAGTTTAAAGAATAAAGTGGGATTATACTTGTGATTTAGTATGGCTTATTGTTTTTGTTCTTTAGATAAGCTATATTGATTTTTAGCAGAATGCTATGAGTTACTGGTTTTAAAATTCTGCCTTACTAGCAGAATTTCCCTTTTAGGGAATGTATTCATTTTTTAACAATACATAGAGGATTCTTCTGCATGTGCTTTAAAGTCTAGTTATGAATTTTGCTGCTCTTTTTGGAATGTACATATAGAGAATCAGTGTGTTAGGCATATGTGCATTCATGTTCTTTATTTAAATTTGTTCCTAATGAACTTGTTGATGGTTTTTCAGCACCAAACTGGTCAGCTAACTTTGATGTACCCATGGAGACTGCACATGGTGCCAGTCTGGATTCTGTTGGGTCTGATGTGTGGAGTACAGAAGAACCTATGCCAGCAAAAGAAACTGGCTGGGCTTCCTTTTCAGAGTTCACATCCTCTTTGAGGTAAGAGTATTAGTGGTTCAGGGCAGGTTCTTGACTACTAAATGTAATGACAGCTGCCATTTGGTTTCCTTGGGGTGTCCATCTCTACCCAAGCCTGTGTTGGTAGTGTTCTGGTGGAATACAAGGTGCGTAGTGTCTGAAGGGCCCCATGCGTTATAACGTCTTTGTATGATCTACCTCATAGCAGGCTTTTGTAGGATGGGTGGATCCTAGTGTGTCATTGTTTTAGAGGGTTTTTAAAGAATATTTGGGTCTCTGACCAGAATTTGAGCAGTGATATTTTTATTTTTTGGTGTAGACTGAACCCAGTGAAGGGTTGAATGTGAACTGTTGAATGTAAAGGTCATAAAATGTCTGTGATGATTCTGTTTCATGGATATTATAAAACAAGTAGGTTTGGTTTGTTGTCTTGTTTTTTTGTTTTGTTTTGTTTTTTTTCCTGAAAACTCATGTGGTTATGCAGCTGTGCTATCTAGGTTAGGCAGTTCTGCACTATTTTGAGAATGCCTGAGATACACTTTTACTTTCTTGGCTTGAACTCTACGTAGAAAAATAACTGAAGTCCTCTAATCATATAGATGTAAATTTTGAGTTCCCAATACTAGCAGTCAAGAACTGATTCTTTCTCCAGTCAGAAGACTCTTCCTTTTATCTATCTGGCTCTCAATTGTCTGTCTGGGCATTGAACAGCTCGGATATAAAAGTACGATTTTTCCAGCATAAAACAGTGTATTGTTTCATGCTTGAGGCAGGTAAGTTGATAACAACATAATTATGGGTTTAGAAAATGAAGACTTGGAGTTCCCACATTTGTGGATAGAAAAGACATTATTCTATAAGTGATGGGAAGTGTTTCAAGTGACCAAATCTTGTCTTTTGAGTTCCTTCAGAATGAAAAACTTGTAGCTATACCGTATATGTGATTAAGTAGTAAAATCACTTCCGTAGTGGATGATGAGGACTGCATTGGCAGTCTCAGCAGAGAACCATCTTTCAAGTTGCAAAGAGTGCATTTAGAAAGTCGTTTAAAAATGGAAATACTACAAGGAGCCAGGGATACTTGTGTGCCTTATTTGCCAGGAACATGTCCACTACTGCTTGTAATCAAACTAAATAAAACAAGTAGAAATAAACTCACCACCAAACATGTACTCAGTCAGGTCAGTTCTGGTGGATTTTGCATTACTAAACTTCTGTTTAGCATGTCTTCCCAAGACTCTTACAAAAAAACTTGTTGTCATTCAGTTTCAATAGAGCTCTAGGCCTCATAGCTTTGATACAGATCTAGAAATACTGTTTTAAGAACATTACATTCTGCTGTTCAGAAATATTTCTAAAGCTTTTTTACTTTGTATTTGAAGCTCAAAAGATTCCTTAAGAAGTAATTCTCCTGTGGAAATGGAAACAAACACAGACCCAATTGATCCCTTGAGTGCAAATGTAACTGCTCTTGGAACACAGCTAGAGAGTAAGTACACAGCATTCGGAAATGCAAACAGATTGATTTTAAGAGTTGTACCGGAGAAAGATCTCCCTGAACTTTAAAATTTAGGTTTCCAGAGACCTCTCATCTGCCTCTGCTGCTGTTCTGCTGGGTAATGAAAATGACTTGTCAATTTCTGAATGATTTAAAATAGTTGACTGTTTGAAACAGGAGCCAGTGTTACTGTTACCTCTAAAAAGCCTGCACATCAGGAAGAGACAAGCATTACAACGAAGCTAAGTGTGTTCTTTCAGAGAATCCTCACTGGTGTCAGCTCTTAGTTAGCTGAGCTGATGCCCGAGAAGAGTGGTAGCCTCTAGTTTCTTCCTATGTGGCGATAGGCCAGTAGCCTCAACATGTTCAAATTTCCCCTTTCTGCTCATTCGTTTCCAAGTTACCTTTACTGTGCATGCACTAATTCTTTCTTCTACATGTATGAACTGGTTAAAGGCCAAACATGTGCTAATTAGCTTTTTGTATGTATTATTAACAGACAGAACAAGAAGTGCAGATGAGAAGTCCAAGGGGACTGGACTTCCCAAAAGCTTGTCTGTACTTGGAAACTTACTGTCAAATTTGTACTGTGTGGGCTTGTGTAATGAATTTGACTGTACAGAAAAATAATACATGACTGTAATCCTACTAAAGTCTCGTTCAGGCAAACCTGTTTCAGTAACCATTGTCAGTCTAAATCACTAAGTGGCTTGCAAAATGGGAAAAAAATAGTTATGGAATGTGATTTTTCCTTAAGCTATGTGTAAGAAGCACTTATGTGTATAGTGGGGGTTGCAGAAAGGTGACTTTCTCTGTAAGGAAGAATTCAAGAAGTGTACAAAACTGCAAAAATATCATTCTGGTTATATTGGCTTATATGCTTGCTCATGAAATAAAGACATAACCAGTCATATACTAAATTACTTCTATATATCTAGCCCCAGGAAGTGTTGCTATGGAGGCCAGCTCAGATGGAGAAGATGATGATGTAGAAAATGCAGACAAGGTAACTGAAACAGTAATGAACGGCAGCATGAAGGAGACACTGAGCCTTACTGTAGATGCTAAAACTGAAACGGCTGTTTTCAAAAGGTGAGAATACCTATTTATTGGCTTCCCACCCTTGTAAAATAAACACTGTTGATGCGACACTACATGTAATCAAAAAAAGTTCTTTGCAAGTGATAATTCCTGAGGCTTTAACTAGAAACCTTCTTCCAAAGCAATTGTTTTGACATTTTACTTGCAGTTAGTTACTATAACACATGTCTTTCCATATCAAGCCTTAATTTTAGTGGAAGATTATTAGTGGAAGACTGACTCAATAACTTTTGACCCTGATGCACATTATTGTGCATTTTTTTATGTACAATTATTCTTTTAACATACAGTTAATTGCACGTCAAAGCTAAGCTTTTTAAATTTTGTACAGAATTGTTAGATTTGGATTGGAGTTCCATCCTTCTAATCCAGGAGGATGGAGGACAGAAGTTGAAGGCCAGCCAGGCACTCCTCTTGAGAGTAACTCATAAGATATTTGGGGTGATCACTGTTGGTGGTATGGATGATAGTGTGAAATCTGTTCTGGACTACAGGTGGCACACAGAATTCTAGAATAACTGGAAGAACAAACTCCTTAATTTTGGTATTTGCTGATACAAAGTGTTTGATTCAGGAATAACTGTCTTACAATATGGTTATATGCCATATTACATATATCCACATGGCATCCTTTTATGGGAGTAAAGCACACTTCCATTTTGTCTACTTGAGATCTCTTCTACTAAGATCTTGTGATCTTAGATTTAATGATCAAGTGTTTTTTATTTAGTATCAAATCTTTATGTAGGGA